TGGGCCATCATTTTATCCTACGAGTACTTCACTGAGTAGCCCTTTGACGTGTGTAGATTGTGAGGTTGAAATTTGCACTTTCTTCCGGACAGTGACAAGGAAGGGGGGCTCTGTTACTACAGACGCCCTCCGCTGCCCTGAGACTTCCCTGTCCAATCTCTGCGTACAGTAACTTTCCTATACTGGAAGGGCCAGCACAAGTTCTTCTGCCTTCTGACTTTGTTAGTCTTCTTTTCCACAGCTCAATTTATACCACCGTAAATTGAGCTAATGACTACACACTATCTCCCCCAGAAGTCTCATGTGGGTGATTGTTTTGCTGTCTAAGCCTTGAAGGCCCAGGCTCAAGATATAGCTGGATGGCTATTGGGACTGGTTTTCAGCAGCAGCTGAAAAAAATGGATCTTATTGCTCTGGGGCATACTTTGTGTTTTGTTCCCCAACTAGGTTTTAGGGGGACTGATCACACGAACATGTCATACTTCTTTCAACCAGACACCTAGCCATGCACAGGCTTCAGAAGTTCCTTGAAAGATGAAGCCAATGGGAGTGATAAGGAGGCAGTGAGAAGTGTCTAAAAAAGGCAGTAGTAATACCAAATTATTTTAGATGGAGAAATTCTTGCTAGTTTTTAGAGAATCCAGAAAAGCAGAACACCTACTCGAATCCCTCTCTGATTCGTTTGGATTCATTGTAGTAAGTATCCACCAAAGTGTCATTGACCGTCCAGCACCGTCGATTTGTATTGTCCCTTGCGTCTGTTATGTTGCAGTCCACGACAAGGGTGGAGCCTGTAAAACCCAAATTCGTAAAAATTACATGAAAATTCTACACATTTTCAAATTTGTTATCACTTTGCTTTTGAGGCTTATCTTTTGATTACCAGAAATACCCCCCTGGGTCAATGTTAATCTCTTTTCTTCTCTCCCTGGACAGAGATCATGAGGGACAAGTGGACTTCCGGGAAATCTGCTGTAAAGGGATTCGCATATGCCGACAAATATCACCAGATTCTGATGCGTGTTTTCCTCAATACCTGGCAACACATACTACTTCTACTCCTAGCAACATTGGCAAAGAACTTGACAGTTTACAAAGTATTTTCTGCACATTTTCTCCTTCAGTTTTCACATCTTCAATACAATCCTACAATGTAGGAAAAGGGGAGGAGTATTACCCCCATGTTACAGATGAGAAAGTTGAAGTTCAGATACAAGATCACGCATTAATTAGAGGAAGAAGTGAGATGTGGACTCTAGGTTCCTAATCCCAAGCGCAGTAGTATTTCTACTTCATCAAGTATGACCCCTCCACCCTTATCCCGCCTCCACACATATTCACAAATTACATTTAATAAATCTAGATTTTTCACAAGTTTTCCCCATGAGCCTAGCAAATCCTAAGTTTCAAGGAGGGTTATTTATTCAAGGTGATATTTTAAAAAACTTATTGTGAAATATAGGAGGTATAGTGAAAAGTATAGAACATAAGTGTAAAGTTAATGGATTATTATAAAGCAAACATCTACACCACCTTCGCCCCATCAAGACGATGAACATCGCCAGAACCCGGGAGCCTCCGCCCCCTCCCTTCCTACTTCCACTGCTCAGCAGTTCGTGAGACTCATCCACGCTGCTGCACGTAGTTACACTTCATTCAGATAATGGGACGTACTGCTATTTATCTCTTCTGCTGCTATATGCACACTTGAATTGCTTCTGGCATTTGCCTAGAGTGCATAAGGCTCCTGTGAATGCTCCCATGCACGTCTGCACACGTGTGCACATTTCATGTATACATACCTGTATACTTGATGGGTAGGCAAACCTATCCACCAGTAACACTGGTAGATGACAGATTATGCATATTTTCAACTTCAAACTGTTTCCTAAAGAGGTTGTACCAATTTACACTTCCACCGGCCGTGCACAAGTGCTCCTGTTACTTTCCACACTCAGCAGTACTTGGTACTGCCAGTCTGTTTTGTTTTACCCACCCTGATGTGTACGGTGGTATCACACTATGAATTTAATTTTCATTTCCTCAGACTGCACCTGGGCAAGCACTTTTTCACATTTTTCCTGGCCATGGGGACAGCCTTTGTTATGAACTATCTGTCCAAGTCATCTGTCTGTCCTTCTAGTAGGTTGCCTTTTCCTTATTACTTTGAAGGAGTTTTGCATAGATTCTGGATATAATACCTTTGTTTATTTTTTCAAATATTTTCTTCCACTCTATGGCTTGTCTTTTCATTCCTCTAGTGTTGTCTTTTAATAAACAGAAATTCTTATTTTGAATGAAGACCTACTTAGCAATTTTTTCCCTCTCCAGTAGTGCTTTGTATGTCTGGATTTTTTTTTT